GCCTCAAACTCATGCTGATCCTCCTGCCTCAGCCTCCCAAGTGCTGGGACTATAGGCCTGTGCCACCACACCTGGCTCATTAAGGCTTCTGTAAAGTGTCCACAGTATCCTCTTGCCAGCCAGGGCCTGTCCCTGCAGGAGTGCTGTGCAGCTCCATGAGGAGGCAGCCAAGTCCCTCCCACAGTCAGAGGTGCAAACCACCAGTGTGCACCAATACCAGGCACCCCCCAGGGGCCTGCAGGAAAGCAAGACATCAGCACCCCACCTGGCTTCCTCAGGCTGTTCAGTGGACAGCTGCCCAAGAAAATCCATCCACCTAGGAAAGTCAAGAAGCACTCCATTTCTAACAAGCTCTGCTTTTCCTTTGTAAAAAACTCCACTTCTGCTAAATGTTCTCCTTGATCACTAAGATCTGAGCCCCCAACATATGGTTGAAGAAAAGAGAAAATGAAACCTGTCAGTCATGTGTAAGAACCATGTTTCCTGGAAGGAGCACTTTGGAGAGCAATTTCTGGACCAAGTACATGACAAAAGCATCTGTCAACTCTATAGTGCTACACAAATGTTACCTTGGTGATGATGTACAGAAATTGAAAAGCCAGATGGACAAGGGTGCCTGGTGAGGTCCTGTCTTGCACTATATCCAGCAACAAGTTCATCATCCATTCTATGGAACAGATATCAAACATCAAATATTAGTATGACACTGAATCAAAATACCAAAATAAAAAGGTTTATATACAACATGAGACTGATTCAATATATGAAGTTTATATAACCAAGTATCAATACAGCAAAGGAGAAATGTATGTTCATCTCATCTCATTCAAGTTATTACACATTTACTTATACTCTCAAATGTAGGAAAAACATCTCTAATCCATATTTGATGCTATACTTTACAAAAGATATCTGCCACAGCTGCTATTTTTTTTTTTTTTTTTTTTTTTTTTTGAGACAGGGTGGTCTTGAGCTCACTTTGTAGCCCAGGCTGGTCTCGAACTCGC